CCTCCTCTACTACTGCAATGTAACTTCTTACAGTCTTTAAGTTTCTCAGTCAACTGTCCGCCCTCTTCAAACCCCTTTTTGATGACATCAAAAAGAATTAGTGAGAATGAGAGAATAAAGCGCATTTGATGTGATGACAGTAGCTTACCACATATCCAGGCGGGGACCCAATGAACCGCGACACATCATGCTATACTCAGATTAGTCATTTTAGCAGCACTACATATAAACATATCCTCCTTAGGATTACCTTATGCTGGAACTCGCTCATATCGATTCTGATAAATCCTTTGTCTATATTCTTTCCGTGTAGATGTGTTGCAAGTGCTAATAAGACATTGTCTATCAATTTATTTTGATCCATGCAAGTCTATCCCAAAATCTCACAACTCACCTTTGACAAGTTCCGTTTTACCAACACCGGATGAACCACAAAACAAGAAGACCAGTGGATGATCCTCATCGTGCCAACCATTTTGTTTGCGACGAATGGCGCTAGCGACGGCATGAATCGGACCCAACTGGCCAACGATGCGTGCTTTCAATGCTTCTTCAATTGGATGCTTCAGTCTATACTCCTTTTCCTTTTGCTTTTGCGCTTTACGCATTTCTTCGTCATGCGCAGCTTTATCCAAAGGATAAGACCGTTCCTTAGCTGCTCTTTCTGTTGAGTACCACTGAATCCTTCCTTGATATGACGAAAAAAATGTGAACTGACCTCTTAAAGCTGATTCAATCTTCATATTCTTTTCACCAGTAAACCTTTCAACATAGTAGAGGTATTCACGAGGTGTCAACCCTTGCGATGTTCGTGCAGTTGGGTCGGCCATATGATCTAAGAGCAAGGCGACCATTTCAGGGTTCTGTATAATGCAAGCATAGTGAAGCGCAGTGAATTTGCGATAATCTCGATAGGGGAGCAGCTCAGATGAAAAATCTTCTTGACGGAAATTTGCTTCTTCATGAGACTTTGGGTAATAATGATCTTCCAGATTGGGATCTACGAGAGTTCAAGCATTAACGCTAAGGAATGATATGCTTAACTAGAATGAAAGTAGATCATACCTGCCCCTGCTTCCAATAGCATCTTGGCCATTTGAATGTTGTCTTGAATGACTGCAGTTTGCTGGAGACCTGTTAGACAAACAATTACAATTCTTCGCTGCGCGACATCTTTCTTGATATCTCTTACCAGTGGAGTCCAGCCATACCGATGATAACAATTGGGTGTAAAATTGGGATTTTCAATAAGCCTAATTTCTAGATTGTTATTCTCTATTTCATAAATGCTCAAGTATCTTCCAGACTTACTTCTTCAGCAGCTTGATGTCATTGTCGACAATAGCTTGGCATACTTGATCACCCTTCACTACAAACCATATATTGATGTAGGGCTCTCGATACGACTTAGAAGAGCAAAATCATTAATTTTTACCTTCAGGTTCCAGCGCATTTAACTTGGTAGCATAAAGGTAGCTCAACGACATGCTTGTCAGAATCGCGGCAGTCATAACCCTGGTAGTCGCGGGTTTCGAAAATGTTGCTCGTGTACTGACATTTCGGTTGAACTGGTTAAGAGCATTTATCGTCAAGGTTTTTGGATAGCATACGCGGGTGCTTCGGAGTGCAGCTGTTAGGCGAACAGGCAAATTTCGTCGTAGCATTGTCTGGCTTTCAGCAGATTCTTTTACAACTTCACTCAGTATTAAACTTGCAATTTGGGCATACTGCCAAATACGAAGCTTAAGAATCACGTGACTTTCTAAGCGCTGGCTATTCAGTCAATCTTGCATATAGCCAGTCATTAAAACATTTCTTTATGAGCAATGCAAGCCCTTTGACTGATGAAAGCTGGTCAAAGCAATCATGCCGGCTTCGTCGATTCATTGTTACATATCGCTATACATCTCTCGCTCATCATTCTATAATGCCTACTGCCTGGAAAGGTAAAGCTGTTCTGGCCTAAAGTGCTAACCTCAACCCTCCTTGTTCAGAACAAAGTTCACCGCCTTTGGCCAATCACATTTCGTTCTCTCTGAATTTCGTGTACTTCCTCACTGTGAATTTACTAAACTGAACCCACTTAACGTTTACTACCATCGAAGTACTATTTAAAAGCTACCTCTTCTTCCCTCTCGCGGTGGCTTGTTTCTCTCTCTCTCTCTCTCTCTCTCTCTCTCTCTCTTAAAAATGGAAATGCCCTCGAATCAAGGTATCCCAAGACCCATGGCTGCGAATCATGGTTCAGCAAAGATTAGCTCTACTACATTGAAGACTGCACGGGAATTACTCAATGACAACAAAAAGGCCCACATCCCGTACTTGTTTTTTCAAACTCTAAACATTCCATATGAACCAGTGCTCAAGGAACCTCCACATTTCTCTGGTAGTTATCCGGAGGACCCAAAAGCATTTATTTTGAAGTTCGACAAGGTTGCTAAGGCAAACAGCTGGAATAATACAGACCGTTGCATGAACGTTTTGCCGTTATGTTTTTCTGGTCTAGCTGAAGAGTGGTTCGATGAACTCATGATCCAAAAACCTTCGTTCTCTTCTTGGCTTACGGATCCCTCTGCTCCAGGATCGTCCTTCGAAGAGGTGTTTTTGAAGCAATTTCTTACTCCGGGGTTGCTTCGAGAATTTCGTCTTCGTTGTGATCTTCGTCGTCAAACTGCTTCTGAATCCGGTATTTCTTACTGTGAGGAAAAATTGACATTGATAACGATGGCTGACCCTTATTCTGATTGGGACGAAGACATTAGGCTGTCTATAGTCATCGAAGGACTAGAGGAACAAAGACGTCTATTTGTTGATATCCATAACCCGAAAGATCTAAATGAACTACGCAAATTTATCTCTTTTGCTGATTCCCGAGCTATTAACGATCCCATGTTGCGTATGGAAAAGGAACTACTCGAAATCAAGAATCTCGTTCTATGTCTTTTAGATGAGCTATCTTCTTCACCTCGACATCGAGTCCAATCTTGATCCTTCTCCCGCTCTTCCAAATTCTCGTGCTGTAAACTCTGTTCTATTTTGTAATCGTCAACAAGAAGGACACATCTCTGGTAATTATCGTACTCCCTGCCACTATTGCGAGAAACTGGTTCACATATCTGGTTACTATCCTCTACATATTCGACATAACGTTCCAGACCGACCAAGTCTTTAAACTAGTACCGGTATACCCTACAGGTGGGCTGTACCGCTAATGGACCTCGGTTAAATCCTGTAAACTACATTTCTATCAACTCTGACTACCATCCAAAGTTATCCTTGCTGTTTCTAATCTTGATCCTAACTCCATTAAAACTTCTTCTAATGTATCTTGGTCTGATCTTGGTGTGATTCCTGAAGATACCTACATAGTCCATCCTGGTCTTTCTGAAAAAATTACTAAAGCGGCAGACTTAACCCAGCATCTATAGTCAACTTTCAAACGCATTTATTGAGTGCTCGTTTTACAAGCTAGCACTACTGGATAGTGAAATGATAACACTTATTCCTTGTTGGTATGACATTCTACGTCGGTCAGGTACCATTGAATAAACCATATATAGTATTTCAACTGACTCCAACGTCAATCTTGCTATGGAATGACTTTCTCAGTAATGGGCGGATGCGGTTTTTGAAAGACTAGCTTCATTGACACTAACAATACAGTAACCAGACGAAATGTACAACTGAAAATGCACCGACTGTGTTAAGGTACTGCATGGTGATTGATTATGGTGCTCATCACCTTTCCTTGCTTGTTAGAGGAGAGGGTTAAGGCACTTACAAGTGCTGAGCTCTCCAACCCAGACCCAAGAAATAAGTCGAATAAATTTTTTTAAGCTTTCTTTATTACCAAGTTATTCATTTATATCACTACGAAGACATCATTGCCTCAAGAAACAGTAAGTGTGTATTGTGATTCTCCATTCTTGTGGAATGAGCTTTTGTTGCTTTTCTGTGTGTGTATCAACGAGATAGTATATGATGCTAATTATATCGCACTGCATGCATTGTCTTTATAAGAAAAATTATATTAGATTCTTCCACTTTATCAATCGTTGACTTTGGGAATAGATACTCACCAAGGAATAGGAAGGAAGTCAGCTGTACGAGCACTGATATTGTTAAGTTTGAAGGTGTGATTGTAGAGTTTTGTGCTACAATTTCACGATTTGCATTGAAATAATTTTTATCTTGCTTATTGTACGAGCTTTGATATCGGTGAGTGCGAAGATGATTTTTGTGTTTGTATTGTACGTGCAATGATGTTGTTAATTCTGAAGGCGAGATTGTAGAGTATGGTGCTATAATGGCACGATTTGCATTTGAGAGATTTTTGATTTTTGATTTGCTTATTGTACAAGCGTTGATATGGATGAGTGCAAAGATGGTTTTTGGTGTTGTTTATTGTACGTGCAATGAGGTTGTTAAGTTTGGAGGCGGGATTGTAGAGTATGGTGCTTCGATGGCACGATTTGTATTTAAAGGATTTTTGATTTGCTTATTGTACGAGCGCTGATATTATTGAATTTGAGGTGATTTTTAGTGTTGTTTATTGTACGTGCAGTGTTGTTAAGTTTGAAGCGTGATTGTAGATTGTGGTGCTTCGATGGCACGAT